CACAAGCCCAATGCTCCATTACGCCCCATAGTGAGCCAAATCGATTCACCAACTTACAGATTGGCTCAACACTTAGCGAAAATACTCTCACCGCTCAGGGGACATACAAGAGCACACATAAAGGATTCCTACCATTTTGTCAGCGAGATTAAAGACCTACGTCTGGCAGACAATGAAACTATGGTCAGTTTTGATGTGCAGTCATTGTTTACATGCTTACCTGTTGAAGACTGCATCTCAATTGTAACTAGAAGGCTGGAAGAAAACAACATGCCCGTAGAATATGCAGTATTACTCAGACACTGCCTTACATCTGGCTACCTATTGTGGAAGGAGAGTTCTACAAGCAAGTAGATGGTGTGGCGATGGGCTCACCTGTAGCTCCCATTGTCGCCGACATATTCATGGAAGACTTTGAGGAGAAAGCCCTGCTTACTTCTCCCATAAATCCAAGATTCTACAAGCGGTACGTAGACGACACTTTCACAATTCTACCTTTAGATAAAGTAACTGCATTTTTAGACCATCTTAACTCTATAAATACTAAAATTCAGTTCACAATGGAGTTAGAGGCAAACAATTCCTTAGCTTTTCTAGATGTGTTAGTAATTCGGAATCCTGATAACACCTTGAGCCATACTGTGTATAGAAAAAAGACCCATACAGATAGATATTTAAACGGTGATTCTCACCACCATCCTTCACAGTTAGCTACCGTGGGTAAATCTTTGTTTCAGAGAGCACGAGGGATCTGTGACAGTAAACACCTGGCTGCCGAGCTCCAACATGTCAAGCAAGTTTTGCATGACAACAAGCTTCGGGTCCCGCGCCTACGTCACAGAGAACGAGTGAAGCCGGCCACAGTCGAGCGTGTACCTGCTGTACTGCCATATGTTAGAGGAGTCACTGACAAGATTGGCTACATCTTGAAGCGCGCTTCCATCAAAACATACTTCAAGCCGCCGAAGAAGATTGGTCAGTTTTTACCATCAGTCAAGTGTAACGTCCCTCTGCAAGATGCAGGAGTGTACAAGCTTGATTGTGAATGTGGTCTCTCCTACATAGGACAAACTAAAAGATCAATTAAAACCCGCGTCAAAGAACATATAGCTGATGTGAAGAATCGACGCTCCGGGAAGTCTGCAGTCTGTGAACATGTACAGGATCGCCCCCGTCACTACATCAGATTTGATAGACCACAAATCCTCGCTAAAGAACACCGATTCCTTCCAAGGATGATTCGCGAGGCTATTGAAATCAAAAAACATCCTAATTTCAATAGAGAAGATGGCTGGGTGCTACCATCTGCTTGGGATCCTATAATAAATAAAATTAAATCCCAACCCAAGCATACAACTGCAAGACTCCATGATACCATAAGTTCATACTGTGTAGATCGGAACAAAAGTTAAATTTTAATCTATGGTAACCGCGGTTAACTATGACAGCTGGACGTTGAACATCTCAGTCCTTCCCGTGTCCATGGGTGCTGTAAAGCTCTCGAAACGTCGGGTAAAAAAGTTAAATATACGCGATAAATTCCGTAAAAATTAGTATTATTTCAATGTGTAGTGCTCGTGTAAATATAAGAAATCATAATGCCTCTTTTTTCTTCTTCTACTTAATATGTTACAGTAAGTGTGATGAGAAATTGAAAATCATTTATAATTATTGATAAAAACAAAAAAAAATCGTGGAAAAGATAAAAAAGTCAGCTTCATCTGATATTTATCTGAATATTAATAATACCTCAATATTCTCCTCGGTACTTGCGTACGAAAAAATAAATCAGCAGAAAACCAAAAAAAATTAATTATAATCGATTTTCGAAATAGTAAAATCAATTAGAAAAATCGATTTTTATATAAGAAATAATTGATTTGTTTAATAATAAATTATTTTCTCACGTCTCTGGGCCGATGTAACCAACAGCTTGTATGCGCTATGAGTTAATGACATGGCAGTCTCTAGTAGTCGCATTCCGTCAGCAGCTTACATCTACCGCGCGCTTCCAATTGTGTAATGTGTATCGGAGTTAATGACGGCTGCCGCTCGCACTAATTTCGACCGCCACTATCGGCATGAAAATCGTGTTGGTGACGATAACGACATAAATCTGAAGGCGTTCCTTAGAAGATGTAAAATGTTCCTTAAAAATACCAATCCTACGATATTGTGTCGCTATCGTTATCGTCTAACGTGAAAGTAGTATCGTCTAACGGCGCCTCTACACGTTGGCCAACACAGTGGCGAATGTAGTGGCCAATAGCATTGGCCAACGTGTAGAGCAGGTGCTTAGGCTTCATTGGTATGTATTGGAACGATGGCCCACAAGTTGGCGCGAGATCCGTGTGGTTTCGGCTTTTTACAAAAGATCAAAGGATTGTTGGCAGACTTTGGTCGCTGCGTCCACACGTTGGGAGCGCGTTTAGTTTGCTACATGCTCCCAGAGTGATTACACGCATCTGATTTAAATTTTATATTCACGCTTTGTAGGGTGGATGCCCCAATTACCGACCTTTTAGTGCCAATTTTAACTTTAAACATTCCTACTACTTTAATTAGCGCGATTTAATTATTTTTAAACATTTGTTTTAATCGATAAGCTATTTATCAAAAAAAAAAATAATGAACATTTATTTACAACCAGATTATTACGAGTATAATTTTAAAATGAAAAAATAAAGAAGCACGTCGTTTATACGTGGTAGAACCATGCAGTTATATTAGAAGTATAGTTGTAGCACGAATGTGTCGGCTCGACCGGGGAAGAACTACGCTCTCACAGAATATCAGCGTGAAATAGTAGCTTAATGATGCTGTGTTTCGTATAGTGAGTGTAGAGAACCAGAGACCCTTTTTAAAGGAAACGAGGCATTTCATCTTAGTCCTCACAGGTGACAACGCATCTGCATTTTGATTCGTAGACGAGGATAGATGTAGATGTCTATGGGCCACAGTAACCACTTACCATCAGGTGGACTGTGTGCTTTGTCACCCTATCCTATAAAAAAAACGTCAATTTCTTATAATTTAATAGTGCAAGTTTTCGAATCATCATCATCATTACAGCTCTTCACAAGTCCACTACTGAACATCCTCCCCCACTGACTGCCGGAAAGCATGGTCCTGAGCCACTTTGCTCGTCATAAGCTTTTCATTTATGTTCTAAGTTATAATTAGTACCTATTATTAAGTCAGTGTTAATTATATGTATTGCTATTGTTTTTGTCTTTCTCAAAAAATAATTAAATTTCTAAATAAATTATAAGGTGTTTTTTATATAAATCAAATTTCTGATAGAAAAGAAAGTTTAGTTTAGATTTTAAAGTTTAGCAAAACATTTTTTGCTAAACTTTAAAATCAAAACCCAATTTAAAACATAGACTAATTGATTATAGCTCCTTTAACTGTAAAATAAGTTAAGTTCTAATTAAAGCTAATCGTATATCTATTTACAGGCCCATTAACATTCACTATTCTTTTATGATTATTTTATAAAAACGTTAACCCCACACTAGGATTTTTTCCTGTATCGCGGAGGCAGCTTACAAACATAAATTGCACAAGGACACATATCCAGACCCGGAACAATTATTTGTAGGAGATACAAATACTTGTTCCGTGCGGGATTCAAACCTGCGGCCCCCGGCGCAGCCACTCATTGCTAAGCCACTGCGCCACGGAGCCGTCGTCTAAAATAAATTCGTCCGCACATTGGCCTGAACCGAAGCAAACTGAACGACCTTCCAACGTGTGGATGCCGTCACAAACTCTCGGCCAATATCTTCGCCACTGTGTTGGCCAACGTGTAACGCCGCCGTAATGCGTCCGAGTAGTATTTAGTATATTATACAGGCTGTAAGGGGTGCGTTGGTAAAAAGGGAAACCACGTGTTCTATTTATCAATATGTACAACTTTCATTACTAAAAATCGACTTTTTCATACCAATTTCCGAATCAGATCTGAAATTTTCAATGGAGAAGTTGATTTTTTTCGACTCCTGTAAATTTGTAATATTAAATGATGTTGAATTATTATGGCAAATCTTGATTGTTTATTATTATTATTATTATATATTCGTATGATATTTTTTAACTTATAAAGGCAGCAATGATAATAATTAATTGAACGGACTTTGTTGTTTTTTTTTGAAATGGTTTTGGTTTTACCATGCATTTTTTGAACCTTGAAATTACGAAGAACCAAGCGTTCAGGAGATTTAAATCAATCATGGTCTTGAGGCGTCATTCGCAAAATAATCTTGTACTCGCCTAAATTTTCATTGCATAGTTCCTTTAAAAGTAAAGCAGATGATCCACGTTCATTCCTTCTTAAAATCTATGTTTTCGTCCATATACACGTTTTCCTAATGCTTCTTCTAACAATAATTCGTCTAGTGAAAATTGGCATTGTTTCCGAAGTAACTGTTTCAGTGGAATAATTTTTCTCTTACGAATGCGAATTTTTCTCTTACGAATTTATTTTAACAACAGACATGTTGTCACGTTAGTTACTGCAATGGTACTAGCTTAAAATTAACTGGCATCATGTAAACAGCACTCGCATGTTTCAAGCCAGGATAGCATGCTAGGACAGTAGTACAGTTTTACTAGCTTGCTATCCCAGTTTGAAAAACTAGCCTCGTTTATCTCGTACATAATGTACTGACCAACTGAGAATGTAACGAGCAAATTAAAGAATAATAATTACAATGACTTCAAATCCCAGGTCGAAACGAAGCGTACTTAATTAACATAATCTTAGATCATTCAAAATATAATAGGTAACCAACTTACTCTTATGGCTCATGAGCTCATGACGCTATATATAATATAGTAAAATCATTATGCTACGCGATAGTTGGTGCAAGTGATACCTTGAGATTCTTAAAATAGAAGATAGAAGAATTCATTGTATGTATGTGTTGGAGAAATTGGTATTCTTTTGTGATATTCCATATCTAATATTACGAATACTTTCACGTGGTGCAACTTACCTGTGGCGTCATAGGCGTGCGAGGAGACACAGCGAGTCGTCCCGTCCTGGCCGACATTGGAAAGGCGGCTGATTCCGTCGGCGATCGGCGTTGCATCCGCGAATACGCCACCAAACTGTTTCGTGTTTTTGTAGCTGTAAGACCACCCTAGTGTGTTAACTCCTTTATTCGCTAATTGACCAAATACTCAAACGCTATTCAATTTTAAGATGCCGTTAAGAGGGTTGTGAAGTGCTGATACGCGGCGTGAGTAGGTATTTTCAAAAATGCTATCTGTTTCATACCGCTCGCTCCATATCGCCGTATCGTGCGGTAAAGAGCAAGTTGCAAGTTTTGAAGGCAATTGCCTACATTTCTTTTTTGAAATATTATTTCGGCCGATAACGTTTTCACCTCCCTAAACCGATAAATGACAAATCACGAAATGAGACAATTTTGGTCTCCTTAGATACAGTACATCTTAATCAAGGTCTGCACGTTTTTCTTTTTTAGTAATTAGGTTTAGTTAAATTAAAAAAAAATTAAAACGTTCCAGGAAGTATTTAAGTTAAAGATACGAGTATAGACATTTAGATGCTAATAACTTATATCGTACCTACGCAATATTTCTTTAAAATAAAAACGTATTTAACCTAGTTTTCTATTGTATCTACAACATTTCCAAAAATTAGACTTAGTTCACGAGGCGGTGGGGGGGGGGGGTTTATGTTATCGCATTTTGTATGAAAATTTAGTTTCACAATTCTCTATGGCTCGAGCTGTTTCTATCACTTTAATTCCAAAGTGATTGTGATACCACGAGACTTAACGACATCTTAAAATTGAGTAGCGTGTGAGTATTTGAACTAATATATTATTTGAACCAATAATCAGTTACGTGAGAATAACTAGACGGACAAGAAACGAAAATAATATATCAAACTAAAATTGTAGGCATTTTAGATAATTTATTTGTTTTTTTTTTTGTATTATCTGCAGATTGTCTCCAATATTTAGATATGTATAACTGAGAAGTCGGGCATTCCTACGTATTCAGCATTTTGCTGGTTTATGAAGAGATTAAGATTAAAAGGATTGTGAAGTGCCAATACGCAAGTCTTGGAGTCCCTACATTTCCTTTTTGAAATATTGTTTCAGGCGGAAACGCTTTCAATCCCCTAAAACATTTACCAAAATGAGACAGTTTTCTCATTAGATTCAGTACATTTTAATTTGATTAAATAAAATTTAATTGAATGAAGATTTGTTTAATTTAAAAAAAAATCTCGAGAATTTTTTTAGGTTATAAATATAAATATTTATTAATAATTTCTTTCGTTATATCGTACTCAAATAGCTCTTTAAAATAAAAACGTACGGACCTAGTTTTTCATTATATTAACAACATATCCAAAATAAAGAAAATTAGATCATTTTTTCCGGGGGGAAAACGTCATCGCTTTTTGTATGAAAAGTGACAGCTTCACAATCCTCTAAATACAGAAAGCAGAGCACTCAAAGCATTATGTTATGTTAACATATAACATTTTATCGTATAAATTAGACTAGAATTAGAGAATGAGTGTGGTGTGTATCCTTTATAATAAAAATGTGAAATTAATATTTTTGCGTACTGCATAGCTGTAAGTAGAGTTCTCTCTCAAATCACTGACGAGATAATAGAGAGATATTAGCCTATCCTTATACGCATTACTACAATGACATTATGGGGTGATACTCTTACGATTTTATCACATTTGACAGACAGGACCGACTGTTGACATTATAATAAATTGGTTGCATAACTAATGCCATGACGCGCGTGGTATTCAAAACGTTTTATGTTCGTATGAATATAATGGTATAGATTGAATCAACATGTAATCATAATAAATGTAATTTCTCGGAAAAAGTGTGAATCGATTTACAAAATATGACAAAACAATTAGATCGATATTTTAGCTGTACACTCGAGAAACAAAATAGGTTACAAATTAATGCCCGGACCAAACATCGCTCCCAGCAGTCAGTTTCAACCGAGACTATTAATTTGCTCATGAAAAGATTATTGTGTACGATTGCAAACACGAGCACAAGTGCACACTATTACCTTCTCACATTCAGAGTTGACCAGACTTTACGTGCATTTTGAGGCACGGGGGGGGGGGGGTTACTCCGGACAGCTACCAAAAATTTCTTGACAGAAGAAACTAAAACTGATTCAGCAGTTGATCTTACGATCACCAGACCCACGAGGCAGTCAAATTATAAAACAAGGGTAATAGACATCTGAAATTTTTGACGGAATGAAAACTAGTTTCCCATAAATATTAAAATATATATGCATATTACATTTTAAATTTATGGCACGGTCACGTAAACATACAAATTGTACCAACAACGAATAATAAATAAATAAATTTAGACGGCTCCGTGGCACAGTGGCTTAGCAATGAGTTACAGCGCTAAGGGCCGCGGGTTCGAATCCCGCACGGAACAAGTATTTGTAGTCTACAAGTAATTGTTACGGGTCTGGATGTTTGTCCATGTGCAATTTACGTTTGTAAACTGCCTGCACGATACAGGAGAAAATCCTAGTGTGGAGGTAATAATTTAAAAAGAGAGAAGAAAAAGAGAGAAGAGAAGATAAGAGAGAAGAAAAGACATTGCCCACTCCCGAGTTATGTTCGCTTTGAATCTACGAAAATAACACAAACTAATTATTGTCTTTACATTTCTATAAGTGACCTAATTGCAGAAATACGCAAAACACTCATAGGTTTTGAGATATACAAAAAGTATTCTAGATACTATTAATATTTATTTTACATCTTTTTAAAATATTCTCCATCATGCTCTATACAAAGTTCTATTAGCCTAAACCAACTCTGAAAACACTTATGCCAGTTTTGATCGGACAGGTCGGAAACCGCTTCTTCGTAGGCAGCCACGACTTCTTCGGCGCTTGATTTCCTTTTATTTTTTCTTTGGCTCTTGGGAACACTTAGAGTTTCAACGCCAGATTCCTCAATAAATGCTTTTGTTCTAAGTGAGGTATGTGAAAAGGCGTTATCGTGATGCAGCTTGATTCCCCGAAGCCCGGTCTTTGGTCTTCTCTCCCGCACAGCTTGAAAAGCTTTGGGTAATGCAACTGTAGTATACCATTTAGAGTTGACTGACCTACAATTTTCCAGCATTGACGTCGACAAATGTGCGCTCCGCGAAAATAAAACTAGCCACAATTTTTTTGCTGACGTTGCGAGGTCTTTGCAACTTTGTCAGTAACTGTCCTTCTACCGTACCCATACCGATGATTGCCTTTTATTTTCCGGATCGTATTGATAGATCCATGTTTCGTCACCAGTAAAGATTTCTGAAACACGCCTAGATGCCTCGTTTTCAAAACGTAGATGCATTTCATGGCACCAATCCACACGTCTAATTTTCGCTTACGGAGAGCAAACTAGGGATCCATCGACAACAAAGCTTCCTCACTCCAAGATGTAGGATGGTATGAATGCTGGTCATCTTTAAGGTTAATTTTACCCTTTTTGAATTCAGCAAACCACCTAAAAATTATTGCGTGTGATGGAGCTGAGTCCCCTAATACTGATTGTAACCGTTGTAAACTTAATTGTTTGGTTAAACCAAATTTAAAATGATAATAGATCATAGCGCGCAAATGTTCACGGTTAAGATCCATCGCTTTAAATGAAAAGCACGGGAAGAGTTGCAGGAAAATTAATAGAACTTTGTTTTTTTTATATTGAGCAATTGGCTTATGGAGTTCTATTTTTAAATAAATTTGCTTTTTAGAAACATATAGCACGGGTGCGTTTCATTTTTAAATTTCGAGCATCTCAAAACTTATCGAGTTACCTACGTACATAGTACATACTAATGTTTGTAGTAATTTGAATTTTTGATTTTCTGAGGTAGACTTCACTATCAACAATTGACATAGTTTAATTAAATTGATCTTTTAATGTAATATGTAAGGGTGTGCGCGTTGTATTTGCGACATTTCGTGTTCAACGACACTTAATAACCAGTATTACGTAAGTAGTAATAAACACAGTTTGTGTGGCGTTACGTAATGCGTCAGGGAGCAAGTTATGAGCTGTTAAACTTAGTTATTTTATTTACATAATCATCATGTGTTTATGTGATGACACATGATGGTATATAGTTATGATGACATAATATATTATGGATATTATTATTATTATTCCTTCATTCATTCGAGTTAGAAGACACAAGTCAGTTTTAAATTTTATTTTTAAATTAGAATCATCCGTCGTTAATCAATTTTCTTTATGACAGTATGTACTTATTATTTTAGTTTTAAGTATATAAAATCTCGCAATGCCAGTAGACAATTACAAACAACCATACCTGTGGTAGCTCAGATGAGAGCCGTGGTAGCTCAGATGGTTAACGCTCGCTGTAAAAAATAACGCGAGTAACCCGGGTGCGATCCCCGCCGGCACCAATGTAATTGTTAATTTCAATTTTAAGTGCTGATTTACCACGTGCTCGGTGGTGAAGGAAAACATCGTGAGGAAACCTGCATGTCTGAGGAATAACAGAAAAAAATATTTCGAGGATATGTGAAGTTCGCCAACACGCATTGAGGCCGATACTTCCTTGCCCTAAAACCCTCTCAGAAATGAGGGGAGGCCTGTGCCCAGCAGTGGGACGTATATATGCTGTAACTTTACTTTACTTTTATACTTCAAGTTGTAGAAGAATTAAATACTTTGATTTTTTTTTTTTTTTTTCCGTATATACGTACGCTCGTCCGATATTGATGAATTTTTATGTGTTTAAGTGGGTTTAAAATGGTTGAGATTTACAGATGGATCCGATAGGTAGCGCCGTCGTCGAGATCCAGAAGTCACCCGCCCGAAGACGGAGCAGCGCGCTAATAAAATATTTTATAATATCTTAATTCAACGTATTACATACAATAAGGTGTTGCTATTGCGCCTGTGGATGCTCTTTTTGGCTCCTTTACTTTTAGTTTATTTTTTGTAAGGCCACAATCTTCTTTATTCTATTATTTTCTTATTTTATGCTATTGAAAAAATATATAGAAATAGATGGTAACTAAACATAATGAAAATATTTAAAACGCTCATTCCTTGTGTCTTGT